TCTGATTCTACTATCTTATTATTGTCAGAAGACTTACTACTGCCAGATATTCCCAGTATAGGCTACCATCATTGCCACCATTATCATCTCGAAAAGGCCATTACATACCCAGACTAGTGCTGCCAGTGTGGAATACCCTGCACGGTTACTGACATTTACCCCAGACTTGGCAGAGAAGGGGAAATTGGTGCCCTACTTTGCAGAGAGGGACTTGGAAGTCATACTGAGGTGCAGAGGCATGATGTCTACTATCTCCAGGACACCAGGCTCTGGTCTGAGGTCACCTTTTAGGTTTTGTGCGGTCTCAGCCACAGGGACACACGCTCAGCAACAAAGGTCAATGACCTTTTCCACTCTGCCAGCAGGAGGGTCTTCTCTCTGTTACCTCACACGGACTCTATCTCTGCAGTACCCTCCTTCACTAAGGTGCCTGATGTCTATTACACGCAACATCTTTCTTCACTCGCTCTCAGCCACCATTCCCTCACCTGCACCAGCACTAACATCTGTTCCACTCACTTTCATTTGATTCAATCCCTCCTTTTTGCTCAGTGCTGGAGAAAACAGCCCATCACAGGACAGAAAGAGCCAAGATGAGTGGTGGGACACCCCACTTTCGGCTGCTCACCCCCTGTGAGCAGGACGATCTGGATCTTAGCCTGGAAGTGAGTTCCAGATGCAAGAGGTGTGGGCAAGGTGGGGGATGGAATGCTATTTTGAGACTGATTACCCCAGAAGGAGCTTATTCCTTAAGTTATTAATTGATAACTGTTTGTTTCCTGCCCACAGTTAGCCTAAATGACAGGCTAGAAGCCTGTTGGGTGGAGAGGCCTGTCATACCTGTCAGGATATCAATTCTCTCCCTTGATGTGACTGAGTGACACTCCCCTTTGACTTTGTGCCATAGCTATTTGGTTGAAGCACATGCAATGTGCCATCTGCGCCATCTGCTGGCACATGGTGCTGGTGTAAGACTGACAGAGCATGGTAACACGCACCCATTTGACTGGTGAATGCAGACAAACATGGCAAGCTTCTTGGCTTTGCATCTGCGTTAAAAGGTAAGGCAGGGCAATGCAAATATGCTAGGAACATCCAGGTAGGCACAAGGTGAATGAGTGCTAGGAGGGCAAGCGAGCAATCTCAAGATGCAGCCTAGTCAGCTGGCTGTCTGTCCTGCACATGTTATCATTTCAGCAGCATCGCAATGAAAGATACTAGTATGGTCCAAAGTGCAGCATGGCAGTGCAGAAGTGCAGTGTACATAGATTGGAGATGCGCTATGAGGGTGTGGAGAGGCTGGCACGTGTCAGATACCAAAGACAGTGGATGTGAGGTGTGTGTAGTAGCTGCCCCAAAACATGCCCTGAGATGTTAATACCGGGTGTCCAACATGGAGGTCTGGATGAGTAAGCAGTGAGTTAAAGTCTTGAGTTCTCAAATTGGGAACTGTTGGCATCTAGTTTCTGTCCTGCTCATGGTAGAAGAGGGAGATTTACTATTAATAAGGGTGATAATGAGCAAAAATTCCTGTTAATAGGCAAGAATCTTGTACCAACGCCTGGAACTCTTTTGGAAAATGCAACTTCTTGCTTCTGACTTTGAGAAAGGCCTTGATGGACTTCTTACATGATTCTCCCAGATGTCTCGCTCATTAGCCTAAATTGTTTTAATGTTTAAACCCACTCAATTTGGAGTTAAGAGTCAGCTATTTATGCCACTCTGACCTTAGGTTTCATTTGCAATATCAACATGGCTTAAAGTCAGGTTTGTGTTTTATAATGCATGTTGCAGAAATAACTTAGCTTTGTCATAAAAATAATATGGACCTATCAGCATGTTACAAGTTATACTGCAAACCTGATATTATTGATTTACAAATGGACACTTGAATAATTGTGACAACATGAATTCCCTTAAGATTGGATTAGTTATTTGGGACACTCTTATAAAAATATTATTAGTGCCAGAAAGTGCATTCTGATCTATTCTTTCTCATTTAAACTTTATAATTTAACAGTTCTTTCTTAATTTGTTTGATTACACCACATGTTAGTGACCTGTCAGCATTTAAGATGATGTTTTGACTGTCATATGAATAATTTTTGCATTAAGAGGAAATCAGAAAATCCCACCTGTTCGCATTCAACATATTTCTTCTCTGGAACAGGAACAATCAGATGTTAATTGTTTTTCATCACTTTTCCTTTTGATGGTACAGCCCATTCCCTGAAAACACTTCCATTCGGAGGGCTGTGGTATTTTCATTTCATCAAAAGAAACTGCAAAAGCCTGTTTCAGTCTCATATGTTACTGATTCAAGTATCTTTCACACTCTATTGATGCCTTTATAACAATGACTGTAGCAATGGAATAATCACATTTAAAGTTTGCTTCAATTATTTGAAAAAAAAGTATTCTGCAGTGTTATTAGTCAGTAATAAGCAAAAATGATATTATTTGCTCAATGAGAAAGAAGCATGAGATTATTTTTTCACAACTTAAAGGTGCAAACTCACAGATTGAACACAGAATAAAGCCGTTACAGTATGCTTCCAATGTGTTAGAATGTACTGACATGTATAAAAAGAGTTCAACAATTCAGGCAACAATTTTCTGACTGGTATTACTTCAGTTCATTAGAATTTTTTCCTATCAAGACTGTAAATAAAATTTACTGATTAAAACAAGTTAAAAGATTTGTTTCTCTCATCAATTAATGGTACAGAAGTGTTCACAGTAAAGCACTTAAACAGTGACATTAACTAAAGTGCAAACGAAATATGTGAAATTTTACTTATTAGCAAATACAGTATCTGAACAGCAATAAGAACTTAACTATCCCTTGTTTGGTTTTCTATTGTACTATGTGTAAAAGAACTGTAAACAGTTTTTGTACGATTTTGTTACACATAATTCAGTGAGGAATTTTTCCAATACGATGAGAATTAATGACCATACACCAGGAATCTTTAGAACAAACTTAGATGGCTTCTTAAGAAAATGTCCACTAGGTAATTTAAATTCTGACTAGAGATCAGTCATCAGTTTTAAGTGAAATATGTATTTAGTTATTTTTCTTGTATTGGACATTAACTTAGACAGACACCAAACATTAATATTGGAGTCAGCAAAGTTTAGAAGGACATCAATACATAATTATTCCCCTGAAAACCCTTTAAACCTTTGTGGTAGTCTTGGGTCCTTCAAAATACACAAATATATTATTCAAATAACCCATAAAAATATAATTCTGACAAGAAAAATACAGTTTATCCATTTGTCATGACTATTTGGCAAGTATCAATACAAGATAAATCAATGAGAGACTAACACTATGCATTCTGATTCCTGGTCATTAAGTCCTCCCCAATCTTTCAAAACCCAGGTGTAACAAAAATATATTAAACTAACAGATTTATGAAAATCCCAATTGTGATAATCTCTTATGACAAATAAATATAGCTTAAGTAAAATAGTTTCTGCCGTTTTTTTTAAACAAACATATACCTAATCAGGATATAATGAAATATGTCCTGAAATTTCCTCCAATTCGTCAGTGTGGTATTCGACAATGCATCAGCATGGTTGAGGTGAAATTACACCCAAATCTCCATGCAAGCTAATAAGCATAAGCCTTCATGTAAAATTTCACATGAATTAGCGCAAACAACTGTGCAATTGATGGGGTCTCATCACATTACCAATAGGATGGGGTAAATAACAAGTGAGGAGAAGATTTTCGCTTTCAGAATTGCTGGAAACAAGATAGTCAGTTCTGAGGAAGGGTCACCAGACCTGAAACGTTAACTGTGATCTTTTATCCGCAGTTTTTGCCAGACCTGCTGAGTTTTTCCAGCAATTTCTGTTTTTGTTCCTGATTTACAGCATCCTCAGTTCTTTTGGTTTTTACAAGATAGTCAGTATTTATTTCTCTATTGCATTAACTTCACAATGATTAATTAAGTGATTTTGCATGAAAGCTGAAGCATTTCTAATTTTTCCCTCTTAGAGGAATAGCCAGAAAATAGGCCACTTTTCAATTGATTTATTTCAATAATGCATGATTTCTGCCACAGTGCAGCAGGCTTGAGGTTTTACTTCATTCTTGGCCAGTCAGCTGATTGGCAATGGATCTGTACGGCCTTGCACGGATATGTAACTGAGAATTTGGATATAATGCAATGAATTACCCCGTCCCTGGGAAAGCACAATTGGAGCTAACCCATATGTTCTGATTCTAGGGTACAGCTAATTTTATGAGTGGAGATTCACTTAAGTGCAAAGTTCAAAAGTCATACTTAAAAGATTGCAGAGAATTGGGCATGTTACAGCTGTGAGTGTAAGTCACTGAAAAATGAATTTTAGCAACCATACACAGTACTTAATATATTTGCACCTGATTATCTGTGCACAAAAGAGGAGGAAACTCCAAATCAACGTCATTTCTGTTTACATGTTGCAACAAGACCTTCGAAACCTCCTCCAGATATTGTGCTATGAAGGAAAAAAATAACTGTGCATCAGAATAATTGTTTTCTATGAATGCTTTGTTTTATGAATTCTTGGCATTCTCCCCAACTATTTACAAATAATTACATTTACAGGGTCTAAGCATATCTCTTTCACATTGGTTTCCAATTCATGCACGTACATTCTGTCCTCCCTTTGTGCAAAACCTAAAATATTCCAGTGTAGTGAACTTGCAGTAGCATAAAATGATTCTAGTCTTGTAACTGGAAAGATGAAAACATCTCTAAATTTTACAGCACTTGGGCTCTACATGGAACCCTAAGTTTTGCCACACTGTTGTCAAATCCCTTATCTGCAGGAAAGCAGTCTGACATTTTGAGCCAAACAGCGGCTGGATTAAAAGATTCATCATGCCATGCAAAAATATCATAGGCACATGAACTATGCCACTTTATTTTGTTAATAGCAGGCATCATCCAACTAGCAGTTTTAAAGAATCAGAAAAGTTAATATTATTTTATCCGTGGTCACATGCTGGTTTCGCATGAGGAAGAAAAACTGCCTTCCCCAGGTGTCACATGAATTTCTGGTGTGAACATGTGATTTTCCATTTTGTATCCAGCGTGGCTATCATCTTTACTGCCATCTCCTGCTGCAGTGTGTGTGCAGTTTTGACTGCTGTATTTTGGAGAAACAGCATCTGCCACAGACACATCTTTGATGTGGTTTTCATTCTTGTTGTGCTTATCATGCTCCCCACAGGAGCTGTTCTCCTGCTGGTTATTGTGATGTGCCTCTTCTTTTACCAGTAACTCTTCACCTTCACCGCTGTCTACATCATCACAGCCCTTTGTTCCTGGTGTTTGGAATGCAAAATATCTCTGCTCAGGCAGTGGTTGTGGTGATTCTTCACTGGATGTCTTATGGGAAACTGGTATATCGGTTCCCAAGGGTAGCCTCTGATCCTCAGAAGAATTCTCCTCTAGCAGAGTGGTACTGATATCCTTAGGTGTAGATAATAAATCTGTTACTATTACTGGTAAAGGTCTAGCTGTACTTGATGGTGTCTGAGGAGTATCACTTTTCATTTCCATAAAATTCACTTTGAGTGGCCTGGATTTCATAGGATTCCTACCTTTCAGTGAGCTCTTGGGGCTTTCCAATGTGCGATTGAAATTGGAGCACCCTGGCTGCTCTACACCTAAACTATAAGTTTCATTCGCATTTGGTTCACAAGTTCCATCTATGAGCTTGGTGTTTTCCCTGGTAATGAAAGACTGATGCTCATTCAGGGAACCAGGACAAGCCATCCATCTCAAGTGCACTGTCTCAGTCATTTTTGAAGGGTGTGAAAACCTATCAGCTTCAGTAAAGTCAGCGGTACAACTTGCAAAGCTATCAATGCTAGAGATACTCCGCATGTCCAATATTGGTTCTGCGGGAGCAGTGAGCAATGGGTCGTTGGAGTACGGAACTTCTTCCATTTCTAGTTCTTCTTCATGTATGGGTGATTTAATGGGCTGCTCTATCTTGCTGCTGTTAATATTTGTCTGAGATGGTGTCTTTGTCATTTGATTATATATTTCCTCCAGCTTTAGTGCATTCAGATGCTGTGGGCTACGAATGGGGTTATTTAACTGCTCACTTGAGTTATGCCTGCTTAGCTCCTGATATTTAGACTCAAAAGACTTATTAGGGCTTGTTTCAGACATTCTCCACCTCCAGTTGCTTGGTGAAAGGTGATTGTCCATGGGCTTTTCTTGTTTAATTGCATTATCCTTTCCTTTCTCAACCACAATATCCATAAGTTCTATACTGCGAGCAAATGCATCTTTCAAGTTCATTGAGACAATACTTCCATTCCTTTTGGCTCTTTCAAGGGCTTCTCGTCTCTTAATTGCTTTCTCTTGCCTTTTCTGTTCTTTGTAGAACTCTGAGAAGTTGTTTACAATGATTGGTATTGGCAAAGCTATCACTAGTACTCCAGCAATGCAACAAAGACCCCCAACTATTTTCCCTAACAGTGTTTTAGGATATATATCCCCATATCCGACTGTTGTCATGGTGATAGTGGCCCACCAAAAAGATGCAGGAATGCTTGTAAACTTTGTGGCATCTTCATCCTTCTCAGCAAAAAATACCAAGCTTGAAAATATCATAATGCCCATAGCCAAAAACAATATTAGCAAACCTAGTTCGTTATAGCTCCTTCTGAGAGTAAAACCTAGTGACTGTAGACCTGTTGAATGTCGGGCCAGTTTAAGAATTCGTAGTATTCGCATGATCCGGAAAATTTGAACTACTCGTCTAACATTCTGGAATTGGAGCACACTCTTGTTTGACTCAGTGAGAAAAATTGTGATATAATATGGCAAGACAGCTAAAAGATCAATGACATTTAGTGGACCTTTGAAAAACTTCCACTTATTTGGTGATGATAAGAAGCGCAAAAGGTATTCCATTGTGAACCATGCAATACACACTGCTTCAACATGGGCAAGTTGTGGATTGTCATTGGGGTGTCCAAACTCATCTTTGTCCTGAAGTTCAGGAAGTGTGTTGAGAGACAAAGCAATAGTTGACAAGACGATGAATAAGATGGATATGATAGCCAAGATCTGCAAGATAGAACAAACCACAAAGAAATGTTTAGTTTTTTAAATATCTGGTAAGGATGTGTTGCTGAAAGATTGCAGCTATATTACAATGTTTTACAGGGGTTAATAAAACAGGGAAATAACATTCTGAAAGAGAAAGCTTGGTTTTCAAGACAACAATGAAGACAACATTGTTAATGTTTATTTTCAAAATTTTACTATTTGACACAAGTTCACAGAGACTTAATTAATAATGAGTGATTTAAGAAATTACACTTCCGGCAGGTGATAGCACATATCAGAAAAGCACAAGTGCACTTCTCTTAAGTTTCTATCAATTAATTATCAATTAATAATCGAGGTTCTATTAATGAATAGTAAATCATAACAAGTCAGGAATGCACATTTTAAACTAATTCTACCAAATTGACTCCTAAAGAAATACAAAATTGTTATTAAACTCATTTGTTATTTACTTATAATAGTATCTCCAGAAGAATCCTCTGGACAGGAATAATAGGAAGTGCCCATTATTAAGAATTACAGCATATTCTGCATTATAACACTTTAGCAGCACTTAACTCCAAGTAATAAATTAATAACAATGCTGTGCACTTAATGGATGAATGTACCTACTTATTTTGCTTTCTTTGTTAATGGAAACATGCATCTCAAGGAACATTAGAGGTCGAGAATGCAATGGTGGGTGCCACAATTCTGTGAAATGGATTGCTTCTTGTTCAATAAATATTCAGTACAGAGCCCAAGGCCTTATAGTATGTTTAGGTTATCAATGCATCCCAATCAGGGAACAAAATAATATTTTTTTTGGAGGGCTGTCTTAAGATTTTCTTGATGACCACTTTTTGATTTTTGGACGCTACCTTTTGGTTTTCAGGGGCTCATTTTTTTCATTCTCATGAACTCAATGGTCAATAACAAACTTTGGGGTGTTGATAGTGGGACATTCAGTGATGGTAACACCATTGAATGTCAAGGGGCGGTGGCTAGATTGCCTAGCATTTGTGTGGCAGTAATGTTACTTGCCACTTTTCAATATCCAGGCTTGGGCTGAATCCCACTCCTAATAAGAGACAATGCAAAAAGCCTTAAACACTATTCCCATGGACTACTGAGGTCATGTAGTAAAATATTTGCGTGCTTGTCTCTAATACAATCACTGAACCTTAAGTAATTCACAGCACGTGAGATACTTTGAGATGTGATAACACAAATGCAAATCTTTAAGAAATATAACTGCTCAGTATTAAACCATTACAATAGCATTTGTTATTCTTTTGTTGAGTTTTAAACTTTGCAGCTTTCCATGTTGTAGTTCCCCCTCTCTCCCCTTTGCAGCCTGCCTCCCCCTTTGCAATTCCTCTCCTGTAATTTGCAATCCTTCTTCTCACCTTTGCAACCCTTCTCCCCTTTGCAGATCCTCTCCCTCTTTTACAGCCTCACTCCACCCCACTCCCCAGCCAGTAGGCTTGCACGCAGATTTTGGCCTAGTCCTAGCTTGTCCCCCTATTACCATCTCTGCCCTCCAGCTTCCTGTCTTACTTTTTCTGGCTTTGGCAGCATACTACACTGGCACGACTCACATTCTTGCTCTTCTTCCAATTATGGACGGTTTCTCTCTTGCGTTTACTGCTGGCGTAAGCTCATAGTGAATCTATCAACATTTTCTCCTATACATTGTCCAATGATTGAAATTTTCTGGGCACTGTACATACTTGTGGGTTAATTTGCCCTTTGCTACCCCCCCCCCCCCCCCCCTGTATACTTTGAATTTTGAATCCAATGCTGACAGAAAGGACCAGGGAGTAGATTCTGAGGCAGAAATTGGACCCCAGGCACTTAAAGCCACTGAACTCTGTGCAAATGGGATGGCTGTGCTTAACTGTGGAGACATTCTGGGCAGTATTCCATTCACACAGAGACAATTTGAGAAACATAGGAACAGCAGGGGATGCTGAAAAATCAATTTTATTTAAAGATTGGGACATCTGCACTTTCCTAGTGACTCTATGTGCTCCTACTGTTCCCCTTAGCTCATCAGCCACTTACTCCCTCTACTCCAGGAAAGTGTGTAATGCACTACAGCAGGCAGCAGTTCTTCACAACATGTTAGCACTTGGGAATATATTTCTGGGAGCATCATGAGAAACCAGTAAATTACGCAATGACTAATGTGCTTTATGCAGGAAATAGCCAGATTTAGCAACTGCATTGGCCTGGTATAATGTCTGAATCAGATCATTAATACTGATAGATAATTCTCTAATTTGGTGTAATTTGGTGTAATTTGCTTGCTGAGAAGAACACGTCAGCAATTCACATGCATATTACACAAAGGTTGAAAAAAAATGCATAGCATGTACATGCATTTCCAATATGTGCCACTGTCAGATATAGATCCAATTGCTAGTATAAGGTTGAAAAAATGACCCAAAGTTTTACACTGCACTCCCAAGACGTGGAATTTAGCCATGGTGACGTTGGTCCCACCATCAGTTGGAGAATTCACAATTCTGAGGCAATCAGAAACTTAGCATAACCACATAAGTCTTCCAAGGAATTAAGGCCATAGTGAAGTAGCAATCCTGTCCGGGGAACTGCTGGACAATTAGAAGCCAGCACTCTCCAGCTGCCAGTGTAGGAGCATAGGATTCAGGAGCAATAATAGGTCATCTGAATCTGTTCTGTCATTTAATAAGATCAGAGTTGACCTGGCTGTGGTCAAACTTCTGTTGGACTCCTATAACACTTGACTCCGTTGGCTATCAAAAGTCAATTAATCTCTGCCTCGCATAAATACAACAGTTAGAATTTTCATTCGTGACCCTGAGTGTGGAGATGGGCCTAAAAGGGGAGGCACTTCCGCTCAGGAGTGGAGTGGGTTTACCCATGCAAATTACCTCCTTCTCAGTTTATTATATATTCAAGCATAGTTAAAACACCACGTTTTAGTGGAGGAAGTTCTGGTCCCGTTCGAACTTCCAGGCCTCAATGTTTGGGTGCCCTTTTTAAAAGGCACCCGGACAGTAATACAATCCAGGAGCATCACTCAAACGATCACCCATTTCTACCACTGGAGATGTCAGAGACATGCCTGAAGACAGCCCCACATTTTAGTGATGCCTCCCTCGAAGTGCCTCTGCAAGATGTCTGTGAAATAAGAGATGGCCACAAGAGGCCAGTCTGAATCACCAAGGTAACCTGGGTGGAAATGGCTGCAGAGGTCAGTAGTTTGAGGTAAGACTGAATATGATGCCACAAGGGAATGAATGATTAGCTGTAAACCACCAGTGTAAGTGCCACTGTCTACTCAATGAATTGCAATATTGCCAATGCAGGGGATTGTTACACAAAAGATTGGGATGCCAGGTATCTAAAACATGTGCCCTATTTGCAATCAAAGCCTGTCACTTATTTGCACCTAACAATATTGCATTACCAGCACCACAGTGCTGTTGCTTCTCACACATGCTGCAGGGTTCTCTGTTAAAACACAGAAGTAGCTACAACACTCAGCAGTTCACTCACCACATGTTCATTGGCCTGTCTTCACTACTAGGAGAACATACAGGTCACACAGCTTCGCATCGGGTAAGAACACATCCAGAAAGTATGTCTTTGGGACAAACACTTCACACAAATATCAAACAAATATCATTAGACCTTTATTGATTTCCATCAGCGTTTTGGCCACACAGGCCTTACATTCAGAAGCCTTTATCTCTCAACTTCCCTCAGACCTTATTCTTCTTGAAAGTTATGCACATGGATAACAGCAGCTCTGGGGATTCACATCCTCCTCTATGTCAATCATTACAGGCACTTTGATCATTGTGCTCATGTACTCATGCTGGTGTGGCTTAATGCTTCTTGCCTTCCAGTGAAGAAGAAGCAACAGAAGTGTGCACAGACAGTGAGGGGACTGCCTGACATAAAGCTGTTTGCCACTTTAGAGAAGCAGGCTGGTAGGGAACCAAATGGACCAGCCAGTACTGAAGGAGAGATTGGATATATACAGTTATCTAGTCAGAAAACCTACAAACAGCTACTCACCCATCAAGCGGTAATGTATTAATGAAAGCTTGGGTAGGGGTGCTGTCTTGTGCCACTAAAAAAAAATCTGTGTTATTCTCTGCAGCCCAGAATTCACAGAGCCAAGCATAGGGCCAGAAGAGGAAGAACGCTAGCTCCCAGGCCCATTTCTCCCAGCCTCACACAGCACACCCCTGAGGATGAACAGCCAGGACTCAGAGGAAGCACCAGCAAGACCTCTGACCTCATCCTCCTCCTGAGAGAGATATTCCCCTCAGTAGGCAATCTCGCTAGAGTTGCTCAATGTCACATTTCTGATGAGTACAGCATTGGCACAGGCTTGCAGCTACAGGAGTAAGAAATGGCTGAGGCCTCCAATGTTCTGATGGAGAACAAATACATATGAACTTGAACCTTCACTCCATTGCTTGAGCCATGGATGTATTATTCACTGGCTAAGTGAACAGGGGCTGAGGGACCTTGACCTTAACCTCTGGGGTGAGGAAGGTGACATTGTGTCCTTACAGGGAATTGGAGTGACACCCAGGGAGGGTTCTCTCAGGACACTCCAGAGGTGCCCTGCCAGATCATCTCCCCTCTGCCAGGAGCCCAGACCTCTCTATCAATTAGGGGAGGCAATGGCCTGGTGGTATTATCACTGGACTGTTAACCCAGAGGCCCAGCTAACATTCTGGGGATGTGGGTTCGAATCCTGCTATGGCAGATGGTGGAATTTGAATTTAATAAATATCTGGAATGAAGAATCTAATGATGACCGTGAATCCATTGTCTATTGTCGGCAAAACCCATCTGGTTCACTAATGTCCTTTAGAGAAGGAAACTGACATTACCTGGTCTGGTCTACATGTGACTCCAGGCTCACAGCAATTGGCTGACTCTTAACTGCCCTCTGGGCAATTAGGGATGGGCAATAAATGCTGCCTAGCCAGTGACACCTTCATGCGGTG